GCATTGCTTCACGTTCAGCTCCACCCTCACCTGCCTTGTGATCTCACGTTCAGCTCCGCCCTCACCTGCCCTGTGACCTCATGTTCAGCTCCGCCCTCACTTGCCCTGTGACCTTGATCAAAGTATGGAAACTGCAGAGGCTTCATTCCCTCCCCTGTGAGATGGACCACAGTGCCAGTTTCTTGGGTTACTGTGTGAATTAATGAAGGCAGGCCTGCCTTAGTGCTCAGAGAGGAGGTATGGGTTTGGGAACTTGCCTGCTCAGATGGGCCCACATGGGGCTGTGACCCTGGGCAAGTTGTCTAGTGCTCTCTGCCTAGGCTGTCCCATGTTTGGACTCTCAGAGCCCTGCCGGTACCGCCAGGAACGCCACAAGCACTGGTGCGCGTGTGGCCCAGAACACAGAGCAGGGGTGAACTTTAGTCTTCCTGATTTCTTCAAGAAAGAACAGGCCAGGGCCTGCCCCTGTTAGGGCTTGCTTTTGAGGTGCTTTGTAGCTTGACTAGTTAAAAGTTCACCAGAATACATAGTTCACTAAGAATGGAAGTTTTTATTGACTGCGATGCTCACAATTTATGATGCTTATTATGAAGTTTGTGCGTTTGTGCAGCTGCACAGGGTTTCTGTTGCACTTTTGCAGTTTTTATCTGAGTGTTAATAACAACCCCTCTGAGCATCAAAGGAGAGGGTTTTGCACCTCAGGATCATGAAGAAGTTTTTCTGTTTTTCAAAAGCTATAAATGGCAGATCTGAGAATCAAACTCCTTTCTTGAGCTACGCTATGCGCATTTATGCATCGAGAATCTCAGCAAATGGAGAAAAGGGACTCATGCAGTTGAGTTTCTTAACTCATGTCTTACTGTCAGTTGTAGAGTAATACCGCGTTCACAAACTGCAGGGTATTGGCTTACAGGTTGGTTCTAATCAAATTCTTAAAGACAGGGGAATTCAATTTCAGAAGTTAATCATTTCAGGCTGTAAACTCTGTTATAGTGGCTTCTGTGATGGGAAGGCAGGTGAACTTCTGAGCAGCCCAGGGCTTGAGGCACACTTGGTGTCTCGTGGCCAATTCCTAGCCGGCCCCCCCCCAGGTTTGTGGGGCACACAGACCACAGCTACAGAGTGCTGGGGAAGCCGAGGTAGGGTTAGTGAGGGAAGCATTTTTTTCTGTTTGGTGGAGGTGAACCACATCTTAAGGAGGATGCTAGTGACTTGGAAATAATAAAAATAAACCAAGCCAGTTACCTTCGAGTCAATTCTGACTCATGACGACCTTGTGTGTTGCAGAGTAGAACTGCTCCATAGGGTTTTTTTTTTTGGTTGTAATCTTTAGAGAAGCAGATTGCCAGGCTTTTCTCCTGTGGTGCCACTGGGTGAGTTTGAACCACCAACCTTTAGGTTAGTAGTTGGGTGCAAACGATTTGTACCACTCAGGGACCTTTGTGGCTTACAGAGAAGGGGAATTTCCACAACAGAGCGACCCTTTCTTGCCCTGGGTTTCAAAAAAAAAAAAAAAAAACAGTCCTGGTGCTGCTCTCACCCTCATCTGAGTCACTGAGGTTCATGGAGAGGTGGCAGCATCATGCTCACATCACTGTCTTGGCTGGATGGCTGTCCTTCTGACATTCCAGGCGCAACATCTCATTGACACTCTGAGTGGCTTTTACTCCCTGCCTGAAAAACAACAAAGAACTCTGTGCAGTGTTTATATTACTTTAAAGTATTGTCTAAACAGAGAAGACTTGGTTCAGCAGAAGCCAGTGCCACTCGTTATTCATGAAGGGACGAGGTTGTCTTAGAAAGGTTCGAGAATTAAAGCTGAAAGCCCTGAGCCCACTGCTGCCTGCATTTTCCTGATTGCTGTGTTGAGACCATTCCAGGGACGCAGGGGCAACCACGCACTCTGCCCCTCTGATGCCCGAGGTGCTGCTGCTGCCTTCTGGCTAGCTTGTGACCTCAAATGCCTGAGCCCAAAGGTGCTTGGTGGTCACCAGGTTGGGCCATGTTTGCAGTTAGCTCCAGTGCCTGAGAACTCTGGAAGCGTAAGGACAGCCAACCCTGTCAGGATATGTAACAATCATCTTCTAAACAGCCCACAGCAGCCGCCTGCATCCTCCTTGGCCTTCCTCTGTTTGTCCCTGCTCTGCATGGAATCATTAGGGATTCCCGTGCACTCGCCCCTGCACGACCTTCCACCCTTGCCTGCCCTTCCCTGTACTCTTTACTCCATGCACACTGGCTCCCTTTCATTCCCAGGGCGCCCTGCTCCTTCCTGGCCTGGCCTGTGCACTGCTCCTCTTCTGGAATATCTCTGGGATTCTTCTCATGGCTGCCTCCTCCCCCTCCTTTGCTTCAGGTCCTCTCATGCTTGGGGCTCCTAGCCCCATCTGCAGCAGACCCACCTGTCACTCTCTAGGCCAGCACCCGCCCCTTGCTTCAGGGCCTCCCCTTTTGTAACCGCTGTTTGTCTGTGTCCTTAGCCAGCTCCCTGCTCTCCATGAGCTGTTGGGGTTTCCCTTGTGCTCCAGGCTTGTTGGCAAAGCCATGCCATGCTGGCTGCCCACTGGAGGAACCTCCTGTTTTCACGGAAGCTGGAATATAAATATCAGAACGTTTCAAAAGAAATCTCACAAAGAATATTGAAGCCATGACCACTGGGTTGTGACACACTTTCACCACCCAAGCCTGGAAAAGCCTGAGCAGACGTGGGCCCCTTAGTTCCCTGCTGACCACCCCACCTCACCCTCCAGATCAGCCCCTATGTGGAGTATTTGCACGGGGGGTGGGGATGACTGCTTCTTGCACCCTAACCTGGTCAGTTTGGGGTTAGAGGAGATTGCATGGAAGGTGCTGGATCTCCTTGCTGAGTTGAGCGTTCCCAAGGCTTGTGATTACATACGGGGGACCCTTCTGCCCTTCCACATCCAGTACTTGTGCTGTTCTTAAAACCGCCCTGAGATGCTGTCATACAGAGATGGAGTCTGTGTGGTTGAGAGAAGCCAAGTGACCTGCCCAAGGCCTCACTAGGAGGTAGGAGAGCCATGGAGGGCAGGTCTTCTCCTGGCCTGTGTCTGGCATAGCACCATGATGCCACCACTGTTGGGAAAAAACCCACAGTCCTCTATCCCAGAGGGAGTGGGAAGTGCTGCTGGGCCATGCAGATGCCACTGCAGGTGTTGTGGCGACCTCCGTCAGCTAACCGCTGCCACCTCCTTTCCAGAGCTCTGCCTATCTCCCCATTTGGGAGGAAGGCAGACGGCTGCCTGGCTGCTCTTTCTTTTCTCCCTTCTACATTGAGCAAACATGTCACCATGACTCGGGCCTGTCCCCTGGCTTCCCTCTGTAGCCTTGCTAGAGGCAAAGAAAGTAAGTGTCAGTGGTGCCTGCCACCTTGGCGTTTGTGTTTTAAACTGCCCTGAGGAAGCCCCGAGTCAGGGTTGGTGATTTGCAGTCTGCAAGGCTGAGGCTGGACTTGCCTTGGTTGCTACTCCGGGAGTCCAGGGGCCGCTTGTCGCAAATCTCTGCTTCTTGTGGGAGATGGTCATCCATCCCAAGCTTGCACTGGAACTTCAGTTAGATGGGAGCCAGCTGAGGTGTGGGGGTGCACAGAAGAAAAGTCAATTCTGCAGGAAGTAGGGGCATGTGCCAGCCATGGGGATCGGCACTGATTTCCTGTCGTGTTCTAGAATATAAGGGCTCCTGGGGTCAGAAGTGCTAGCAGAGCATGCAGCCCCTGGGCATGATGTCCCCCATGATGCATGAGCCTACTGGGCACGAAGCCCTGCTCCTCATGTTCCTCCCCCCACCTCCCGCAGATCCCCCTCCAGATGCAGGCCTGGGGGTTTCTATGTCTGTGTCAGCAACCTCGGGAATCATAACATCACAAGCAATGGGTTCTATAGGGTAAGGGAGGGGGCGTGGCAAGGAAGGACACTTGGTGGAGCTGTGAGCAGTGGGACAAAAGAGGGTGTTTCCAGTATGCAGACTCAGGTCTGCTGCTGAGGTTGAGGGAGGGAAGAAGGAAGGCAGGCAGGTTTCACAGAGCAGGAAGGGTTTCACGGTGAGCACTGCAGAGGCTGAGCAGTTTGTCCATGACGATCTGGTCACTTTTGCATCGCAGGAGAAGAGAACTCAGACTGTGTCATGTAGGATGCGTTGAACTGGCACATGGCTTCCTCTATGCAGTCCAGCAGTTGAAAGCACAGAGTACATGTGCCACGTCCTCTCCTGCAGGGCACACGCCCACTCTCAGCTGTCCAGGGCAGGGCCAGTCGGTGAGGCATGGGCTCTGCTGGCGGCTCCAATGCACTGCAGGGCGCAAAGGAGGCATGGGGCTCCTGTGGGGTCCCTGACACCGGCCGACTGAGACAGCGCTGTGTGTACGTCCTCCCAGATCTGGGACACAGCTGAGAACAAACACAACATTTTGTTTTTTAAAAGCTTCGTGCCCTGCTGGGGCTGTCAAGCAAATCTAACATTTCAAAGAGCAGCCTCTCGTTTGCCGTCGCCTCTTTCAGACCGTGCAAACGACCATGGGTGGGCGTGTGAGTGCAGTGGAAAGCACCCCTCAGTTTGCACGGTAGTCACACTGTGTCCTATTGGAGGAGATTTCAAGTATGTGAATTGAGCTCAAGGCTCTGCAGTTTGTTTTCTTTAACGGCGTTAATAAGGCAGGTTTAGCTCCTGTGGAAGCCATCAAGAATGTTCTGTTTATCTTTCTGAAACAGATCAAAAGGTGTCGGGACAGCTTTTGGGGGAGTGATATCATCTTTCTGTTCTTGGTCAGCTTTAAGCACCCCCACCTTTGTTTCCTTCCCCAATAGTAGGACTGGCTCTGGGCTCTTGGCAGACCTTTGGGAGCTACGGAGGGGCTGGCCAGCCGGCCGGCCTCATGGCTTATCTTCCTCGAGTGTGTGAGCTGAGCGCTCGGGTGGCTCTGAAGTATGAGCATCCTCGGCTCACGCCCTGACTGCGGCTATGGGGGTGTTGTTGTCTTTCAGAGGACTACCCCAATGGGACCTGGCTGGGCGATGAGAACAACCCCGAGATGCGGGTGCGCTGTGCCATCATCCCCTCTGACATGCTGCACATCAGCACCAACTGCCGCACCGCTGAGAAGATGGCGCTCACGCTGCTGGACTACCTCTTCCACCGCGAGGTGCAGGCCGTCTCCAACCTCTCAGGCCAGGGCAAGCACGGGAAGAAGCAGCTCGACCCCCTCACCATCTACGGGATCCGGTGTAAGTACAGGTGGTGGGCATGGCGAGGGCTGTCTCCCTGAAAAGTGAAGTGCTGGGTGGATACTGGGCCCAGGTACTGATAACCTGGAAAGGGTAGCATTCGGGTCCTTGGTACTGGGCTCTGGGCAAAGAGGGGCATTCTGAATTCCTGGATATTAATAGCTAGGAAAGGGCTGCATACCAGGTTGCCAGGTACTGATAACCAGGAAAGGGCAGCATCCCGGATCAGGTGTTGCCCTTACTTCAGGCTACCTGATGTTCTCGGTGGGAAGGGTGCTGGGGAAGGTTGGCCAGCTGGTTAGAGGTTCTTCCAGGACTTTGAGGTCCCAGACTCACTCATCCTGGGGCCACTCTCAAGGAAGCAAGGAGACCATCGTGGGTGTTCTGGGAGGGGAAAGACCATTAACAACAACAGGGGAGACTGTTTCCGGCTTCGTGGGGCTGCCAGACAGCTTGCCGGGACAGTGGTCAGTAGTGGTAGCTGGGCACCATCAAGTTCTTCTGGTCACAGGGTAGATGAGGCCGGCCATGGTTCTTGTAGACTATTTATGCTACAGACTAATTTCTTTTTTAATCTTTTTGCTTATTTTTATATGTGTGTACCTGTGTGTATCTTGTGTGTATTCTTTTCTGTTGCTAGCAAATTTTTAAAGCTTTGTATAATCTCATTAATCCCTAGAGGAATTTGGAAGACATTTTTGAGTGTGAAGCAGTGCATATGGAAGGATGCTTTCTAGAATATTTCTATCTTTTTATTGAAGACTACATGCAGTAGGATGCTTTGATACTGGATGTGATTGCCATTTCTCATCTTGTCTTAGAACTAGTAGTCACGGTTGAACTTCTCTGAAACTACAGCCAGCACTTGGGCTTCCCTGAAACTATAGCTGGTTCGCGGGTTCTCTGTAACTACAGTCAGTAACTAGCCAGGCATTCTTGAGGCCGTCCCGAGCACCTAAAGCCATGCCTGGCATGTCACGGTCACTCAGTAAATAGTTACTGAGTTCATGATTCTGTGACTAAAAATCACAAAGTAAAGAATTTCCTTTTATGTAGGAAGATGAAAAAGTGCCTCTGAACTACCTTAGGTTATTGTTCTTTCTGATCCTATAAATCCTACCCTTCCTTACCCCAATTTATTTTTATCTAGATTAAAGATATTTTTGTTGCCATTATATTCAAAGATGTTTTAAGCATATGAGCCTAGAAGCATTCAAGAAGTATCTTTTTAAAACAAAGGAAACTTTTGATATTGAATGTGGGACTTGAAAAACAAACACTTCCTTTGTTTTGATTATTTCTAGTATTTTGGGCTCAATAGGAACAGATTGGAGGGTTTGGGACAGTAATCTGACCCTCAGTAGATAGTCCAAACGCAGTGCTCTTAGTAGTCAAAACAGGATGTTTCTCAGCTTAATCTTTTTATTATTAAAATTTTGAATTTCATCCATCGTTTTCCTGTTGATCACTGAAGTTTCATGAGCCAGCTAGAGAGGAGGCCAGCCTGCTGGTTGAGCCCTTTCTTATGATTCCCACATTCTCGACTGTTAAACTTCCTGTAACCACTCAGTTCGAGAGTAGGCACTGTGACCTGGGGTCAGGGGTGGGCCTGGTGAGGTGGCGGAATCATGTCTGACCCTGGTGCCCCTCTGTCTTAGTTATCTAGTGCTGCTATAACAGAAGTACCGCAAGTGGATGGCTTTAACAAAGAGAAGTTTATTCTCTCACAGTCTAGTAGGCTAGAAGTCCAAATTGAGGGTGTCAGCTCCAGGGGAAGGCTTTCTCTCTCTGTCAGCTCTGGAGGAAGGTCCTTGTTATCAATATTCCTCTGGTCAAGGAGCTTCTCAGTGCAGGAACCTCAGGTCCAAAGGACGCGCTCTGCTCCCAGCATTGCTTTCTTGGTGGTATGAGGTACCCCTTCTCTGCTTGCTTCCCTTTCCTTTTATCTCTTCTGAGATAAAAGGTGGTGCAGGCCACACTCCAGGGGAACTCCATTTACATTGGATCAGGGATGTGACCTGAGTGGGGGTGTTACATCCCACCCTAATCCTCATCAGCATAACCCGATCTTGCCTCATTAACCACAGGCAGAGTTTGGGATTTACAACACGCAGGAATATTACATCAGATGACAGAATGGTGAACAATCACACAGTACTGGGAATCATGGCATAGCCAAATTGATACATATATTTTTGGGGGATACAATTCAATCCATGACACCCTCCCGTGCCCTCACTGCTGAAGAAGGGTTTTTCTGGGTGTTACTCAGCAGTTACTGAGAGCTCCCTGTGACTCATGAACATGGGTCCCATTAGGTGCTCTGCTGTGAGCAAGGGGAGTTGTGGGGTGACTGTAGGTATGTGAGGGACTCTCAGGAGTGAGGCATGTGTGATACAGCCTCTGCCCTCGGGACCCAGCGGTCTAGCTGAGGAGGGAGATGGAAGTGCAAGTAAAATCACATAAGCCAGCAACACAACACGTTCAAGAACCATAGGAAGAGATCTCAGGGTCCATTCTAACAGTCACTGACTCAACAAAGCGTTTGTGATTATACTTGAGTAAATATTGTATCTGATCTTGGAAGATGATTTATTGACTAGCTGACTATATTCTCTTATAAATTTGATTTTCTGGATTATTTTCAAAGAAGAGTGGAGGAGAACTGCATGCTGTAGGTGAGGATCTCAACAGCGATCACCCTTTTGTGTTGAGGTTGCTGCCACATGAGAAGGCAGCCTTTACCTCACAGTGTGTTCCACACACCTCACAGTGTGTTCGTATGGGGTGTGTTCTTTCAGGTCACCTCTTCTATAAATTTGGAATCACGGAATCTGACTGGTATCGAATCAAACAGAGCATCGACTCCAAGTGCCGGACAGCCTGGCGGCGGAAGCAGCGAGGCCAGAGCCTGGCCGTCAAGAGCTTCTCCCGGAGAACCCCATCCTCGTCATCCTACAGCACTTCAGGTACCCTCTGGCGTCTAAGCCTCTCTCTCCTGCAGCCTTCAGGGTAGTTGGCGTTGTCGTGCTCACAGCGGAATGGCCTGAGCAGGGTTCGAGTGCCCAGCGGGCCTCCGACGACTGCTCAGGAGGCAAGTGGGCAGAGCCTTCTTCTTGGGGGGGTGGGGGGGAGGGGCTGGATGTGACTACATGCACCTGGCCCCTCCCTGCTGTGAGGTTGGGAACCTCAGCCTAGGCCCACTCGGGGCTCATCAGTCCTACTCCCAGTTGGAGAACTTGTGGATCTCCCTGGAGGTTTCCTAGAGAGGAGGGAATTAAGACTGGGGTCTTCACACAGAGCTCATGTTAGGTTCTGAACCAAAGGCAGGAGTTTGGTCAGGTCCATGACTGGGGTGATGCTGTACGTTTACCAGCTTCCTGTGCCCTGTGCCTGTTATTTAGCTTCTGAGCATACTGCTAGCTATTTTTGTTTGTTTGTTTTCCTTGCATAGTGACTACAGATGAAGGGACAAGGTAAAGACTAACTTGTACTCTTTATTTTTTAGCGTAGGGCTCAGTTGAACTTTCTTGCAAGATGACGGAAAGCTGCTCCCCTAGACTTCCTTTTTTAAGCAGACGCCATTTAGGCATCGTTGGAGTGATTTTTTTTCCCTGCTAGTAATGACCATAGGCTTTAGTGTTCCTCTTCACCAAGAGGCTTCAGAATATTTAAGCAAGTGATGATTGGTCTTTCATAGTGATTTCAAACAAACAGAGTCCTTGAAAGTTAAAATGAACTTTACTTTCCAGGAGACAAATAAGTAATGTACTTGGGAGTCACTCTGTGGATCCGTCCTTTGAGCCCTGGCCCCTGCTGCCTGCGGTTGTTCTAGAAACGCCTCGTATGTAGTGCACGTTGAGCATTGCCTGTACCTGTGCAGTAACAATACGTGCACTGGTCCAGTTAGTATGGAGATGCACTCACTTTCTTTGACAAAATGTGGCCTTTCTCTTTGTAACAGATCCTGTTTGGCAACTATATGATTCAGTGTAGGTTAGAATATTAATAAATTGGAAAGTGTTAGTGTAGGAGTATTCCTGGTAAACGTTTAGTCCCCTTTAAGAATGGGTGGTTATGGGGCTTCTACATATGATCTATTAAAAGAGGATTTTGAACATCATCTCAAAGAAGAGAAAGCAGATTTCCATCTGTGCTTGCTTTCTTTCTGGTTGTATGTTAACATAACCACTGTGTCTTTGATGGTGGCAAAAATATTCTTCTATATAGGAAAAAAAAATTCTTTGCTAGTATTATTTCCAAAGGCCTTAAATTAAAAAAAAAAATTAATTGTTTAAATTATTATCATGACTTATTTTTAATTGTGGAATTGAAAGAATTTTGTAATCTCTTCTAATCTTTTTTTGTTTTTTAATGTATGGTAGAACATTTTCATCTGTCCTCAAAACATACAAAAAATATCTTAAAAGTTTTAGTGAAAAATAGTAAAGGACATATGCTAAGAAAGTGGTCATAAATGTTAAAGCTATAATTTCTCTAATACAGTTGTTTTTGGAGGCAAATAGCAGTCATGATTTTGATGATGGTTGTGATGCTATTCTGCAGCTTCTAAATCTTTGCAGAGATTGTTAAATTGTAAAGGGAGGGCTTGTGTTCAACTCAGATGACTCTGTAATTGGTAGAATTTCATACAGTAAAATAAAAGCTGTGGGGAAGTTTTGGGAGGTTAGAGGAAGGCAGTTTGGATGAAAGTGCCTGTCATCTTCCAGGCTCTGTCTGCTCTCAGGGTTGCTTCTCCTCAGGGGTTACAACTGTGTACTCATTTTCATAGGCTCCCCCCGCTTCTGTTTGCCTTTTCTAAAAGCTCTAATTTAAAATATTTCAGTTGTTTTCTTATTCCCTGCAGTATCTCCCTTGGCAGTAGCTCCTGGAACTTTAGCAGGGATTGGAGGTTGGGCTCAGGATCAAGGGCAGAGCGGGCCAGGTCCACTCTGTCGTGAGTGGAGCCTTTGTCAGTTGGAACACCTCCTTCTGAAAATACTGCAAGTTACAAACCTGATCACCTGGAGTTCTCTCAGGGTTTTATTCTTTCTGAATCCAACTTCAGAAAGTGTTTTTCTCCCAGTTGTTGTGGTAGTTATCAGATACTTAGTCTTAACTGTTGCCAAATATTTTTGAAGGTGGGAGGTGGCCAGCTATTATGGGCCACACAAGTTGTACCTTTTTTGAATGGCATGTATTGAAGAATCTCTTAATGAGGAATCTAGACCTCTCTATTACAATCAGGAACTATGTCTTAAGAGGTGGCAATCATGGGGTCTGGGTTAAATGCATTTGGTGCAATACAATATTGTAGTCTGTGGCTATTAAAATGATGTTAAACCCATTGCCATCAAGTCAATTCTGACTGATAGTGACCCTATATATGTTACAGAAGTGTAATTCCTGAGTTGGGATATGTTCTTAAATATTATTAACTGAGAGGGAGCAGACATGAAAATGATCCTTATAGTATGATCCCATTTTTATTAAAAATACAGCTATGTGTGGAAGGTGATTGCAAACCTATACGTAATAATTTTAACAACGGTTATCTCTAGGTAGTGGGAGTACAGTTTTAGTTTTTCTCTTTGTGTTTTCCTGTAGTTTCCAAATTACTTACGATAGACACTGTGTTACTTTTATAGTTTAAAAAAATGCTGTTTAAAATTAGGGGTAGGAGAATTCTGCTTTCAGCCATAATGCAGTAAAAGGCACCAGATTTAATTCTCTTGTCGTAGAAATCTGGACAAAACGTGTGAGACAACTGTTTTCAGACTTTGGCCAATAGGCAGCATAGGACTGGAGAGAAGAGAAAACACATGAGCCGACCCCTGCTATCCTCCTGGATTTCTCCCTGGAAGCATGGAGCAGCGAGGGGCATTCCAGGCAGAGCACAGCTGGCTCACTGAGTTGAGGAGACAGATGAGAGTCCGGGGAGGCTGAGGCAGCTGAGAGTTGCATAATAGAATTCTGAAGAGGAGGGAGTTACATAAAAATGAGCTCCTGAATCTGCACAGGGGTCCCTTTGAGTTTTTACTGAATTCTGACACAGGCATGCCTGGAGTGAAATTCCATGAAGCTGGGCAAAGAGTGACTGGGCACCTGTGAGCCAAATGGTTCTTAAGCTTATGGGGCCAGGAGGTATGCAGGTTCCCACCAGCCAGAGTGGACAATCCTTGTAGGTTTCCACCAGCCAGAGTAGAGAATCCTCACTGGTCAAGGCTTTCAGTAGAGGCACCAGAGGCCATGCCTTCCTAGTGGAACTAAACTATTCATAGAGTAAAGGGAATTCTTAAAGATGAGAGGTGGCCACTATTGTGGGTCACACAGATTGCACCCCTAGACGTGCACTAGCAAAGCTTATAAACAAGCCTCAGAAGGATCAAACTGAACCACAACTAACTTAACACTTCTTAAAGGAAACAAAGTCTAAACACCCAACCAAGTAAAATTCACAATGTCCAATGCCCAATCAAAATTACTAGACATGCCAAGGAACAGGAAAATGTGACCCATAATCAGAAGAAAAAACAGTCAATAGAAAGAGACCTAGTATAGAGACTCAGTCATTAACAAGATGGGGCATAAAAACATTTATTAAAACTATATTCAGGGACTTCAAGGGAAAAAGGAACATAGTGAGGAGAGAAAGAGAAGATATAGAACTCCTAGAGATGAGAAATGAGGGGAGTTGTTGCCAGAGTGTGCCTTCTATTGATTTCAGACACACTTCCTGTGTAGTTCTCATTTGGTAAGGTTAGTGGCTTCTTTCATCAAATAAAGAATGAAAATCCAAGTTAAATTACTTGCTAGAGACTTCGGTGAGCAAGAAGCTTTCAGTATACAAGATGACAATTACTAGATACGTTGGACTACATCATCAAGATCTAAAAGATGGAGAAGGAGTAAATCTAATAAGATGGCTAATGCCAAGGTGGCTTTTGCAGACAGCATCCAGCAACATCCTGGCCCCTAGGACAGTCATCCTTCCCCCCTAAGGCCATGTCGGGGCCCAGTGGCAGGGAGTCCGCAGTTCTTCTGTTTAGCCAGCTGTTCCCCAGCTCTCTGAAGGTGAATGTTTTTGAACCAGATGAAACTTTCACTGCCCTTGACCTAGGTGTCCTGCACGCCATTGTCTGGAGTAGGAGTGAATAAACACTAGCACAGCTCAGGAACATCTTGGAGTTCAAAGGGTTGCTTTTTTAAAACCATGTGAGGGAGATTAGCATAATCATATTCCTTTGGCCTTGAGGTGTTTATTTGCCAAGAAAGGAGTAAGGAGTAAGAATGGGTTTCTGCGCTATTATAACCATTTGATACTACTATAGTAAACCAGGACAAGTGCTTCTTCCCTGTGGATTTGGTGAGAAGCCAAAAGCTTGCCAGCCCAGGGCACTTCTCTTTTTGCAAGTGCTGGAATTGAATGGGATTTAAGAGAAACATAGAACACTTTATTTAAAAAAAAAAAAAAAATTAAGTACATGCTTTGTAAACTTCAGTTGATTTAATGTTCTCTGTTTTAATTTACTACATACTTGGCTAAAAGTAGGTAAAGCAAAGTAGGTGGTTAGTTGGAGACTTCTGGAATTTTTGTCCTTGTTCTTTTTGCTTCTAGTCTTAGCCTAAAAAAGCAAATCTGATACTTAAGGCTATTTTGGTGAAAGAAATAATCCAGCAAAGTGTAATTAAGCCAGGATTTTGTTAATTTGGAATTGGTAGTAGTCCCAGCTGGGATTGTTTTACTTAAACTTTTAAATTATCGGTGGACATAAAAAGGGATTTTTCAAATACTATAATTAAGATTTTGAGTGAGGGCTAGCCTATTTAAAGCTGAATTAATACTGCCAAATTGGATATAAATCGCAAAATCATAGTTTCAAGGGATTAAAAAAATTAATTTATTCCAGTGTCTGTATTGCCCTTGGTTCTTGGGCAACACTGTATAAACTTTTATATGTGCTTGAGTTTAAGACGGCTGGGTTTTACCGTTTAAAATACAACTGAAAGAGTGTGAATGGAAACTTCCTCTTCCAACTGGCCTCATTGGTGAGTTGAAAACCTTAGGTGGATGCATACATGTTGTTGTTGTTGTTGTGCGTCCACGAGTCGTTTTTGACTCCTAGGGAGCCCATGTGACAGAGTAGAACTGCCCTATAGGGTTTCCTAGGCTGAAATCTTTACAGGAGCAGATCTCCAGGTCTTTCTCCTACGGAGCCGCTGGGTAGGTTCGAATAACCAACCTTTCAGTTAGTAGCTGAGCACTTAGCTGTTTGCGCCACCAGGGCTCCTTGGGTCCCTACATAGTGCCAGATATTTTAGAGTTACAGAGAACCAGCTCTTGAAAATGTACTGCCTGCAAATATGTTTGTGCAGCTAGCTTTGCTTCCTGAAGTGCGAGTCCTCTGGACGCTGATGGGGAGTCAGGCCAGCTGGGGGACGAATGCTGGTCCTTTGTTTAGTTTTCTTACAGTGGGTGATGTGGTTGAGCCATCTGGAACTTTCTCAGCGCTCCCCCCTTGACCCACATCAGTGGGAGCATCCTCATCTCTGAGCCCTTGCCATGGCTCTTAAACTATTCTTGATTAGAACAAGTAACCAATGCCATTGTTTACACTGGACTGTCTTATCAGTAGAAATTATAATACGTGGGTTTACATTGGTCTTCATGTTGTATAGTTGTAGGTAGCTGTTGATTTAATGTTAATTTTGATAATTTGAATCTTAGATTTGAAAGCCATTTATAGCATACCCACAAATCATATCTTCTATAATTTTTTAGAACCCCAGGGAGTGTTATTCTTGTTGGTCATGTTTTTGAATTATTTGGGAACTCAAATGCAGTTGATTTTTTATTAATAGGGTAATAGAAATTATTTGGGAATCTGTTCAGTTATGTATTTCTTATTGACGAGTGGAGTAGATTTTAAATGTTTGTCCATGGGCCCCCTTAAAGAATTTTGAAAAAGCGTGTTCTTCTTTGCATATTTTTAAGTTGACATTTTTAAAAGTTGACATGTGAAATTTTGCAGTGTAGTTTGAAGTAATTGAAAAGGATGTCATTTCCGGCATACTGTGAGTGTTAGCATTTTAATATTGTTATGCTACTTTTTAAAATGCATTCAGTGGTGTCTATATACCATGGCAGTTTGCTGCCCAGCATTAGCTATTAAAAAAGATACACGAAAAACTTTCCTTTAATAGTCAGAAATTTTACATCATTCCGTTTTGTCTTTCAACTCATGTTAACATTCTTCTCTCACAGAATTTTATCCTAATATAATATATTTTTATGCCTGAAAGTTCCTTTATTGATCAATCCATCGTATTTCTCTGCAACAAAATTATATACACACACACACACACAAACATTGAAAATTTTTTGTAAATTACTGAGCCCTTAATGTTCTAAATGTTTTACCCCCTATGGAACAGTTCTACCCTGCACACATGGGGTCACCATGAGTCAGAATCAATTTGACAGCGGCTAACAACAACATCAGAAACAAATGCATCTCATTTTGATTCCAAGTAGAAAGTTAAATTTTATTGGAAATGCCTCTCTAAATGAGATGGATGGAGTTGTTTCCCGCCTTCAGTTAGTTTGATTATCCATAAATAAATCTGTAATATAAATTTCATTCCTATTTTTCATTTTTCTAGATACATCCTGAGGGAACTCATTTTTAAATAAGTAGACCAGGGAGAAGGAATTTTGTTGTAGCAGAGTTGCTCAATTCTTTAGATTCCTCTAATCTTCCTGTCAGAAATCTCAGTGATCTCAAACTTACTATTAACGATCTCAAGCAAAAAATTGTCTGCTCCAAATGCCGCCACTGTTCCTCTGCTGAGAACTTTTGCCTAGAGCCTAGGTGGGAAGACTTTCTTTCCTCCTCTGTGGGATTTAGGATGTGGGGAAAGAAAGAACCTGGGGGTGATCTGTGCATTAGTTTGTCAACTGTGCTGGTTCCTGGGAACTTTTGTAACGCACTCCCCCCAACAATGTGTTCCTGCAGAAACGATTCTGAGCACCCCGCAACCTGCCAGTGAGATCCCGCAGCCCCAGCCACAGGCTCTGCACTACACTCTGGCCAATGCCCAGCAGGTCCAGATCCACCAAATCGGAGAAGATGGACAAGTCCAAGTAGTATGTACTCCTTCTCGCTACTATCTCAGTGGTGAAGTGGAGTAGGCTGCACTGGAGGGGTGGGCAGTGGGAAGAGGGGGCAGCCCCAGGAAGGGGTATACCTGCTCTCTGCATTTCTGGGGCACACGGATAGCTTGGGATGAGGTGAAAGTGCATATCGTAAAGGACAAGGGATTCTGGGTTCAAGCGTTCACCTTTTGTAGATCATGGCCAGTTACTCAGTGACCTCTAATTGATGCGTGAGGGCCAGCATTCAGTGGCTTGTAATTAATATGTGAGGGCCAGTTGCTGGCCTCCTGTGCTTCTCTCCCGTAGGCCTGCCAGGAAGGTTGGTGTTGCCCATCTGTGCAAGAGTGTCAGCTCCAAGGTCAGGCCATTCAGCAATCACAGTGGCTTCCTGGGGAAACACTGCAGACATTTCTCACAGTCCAGGAGCCCTGGGGCCCTTGTACTAAGGGAGGGGGAAGTCCCTTCCTTCTGTGGTCAGTGAGTGAGTGGCCTTAGTCACTGAGCAGCACACACCTGGAAGTTGTTCAGCACGCACTCAGTCCATGTGGTTGCTTCCCTCAGTGATGTGCCAAAATAGCCTTCATAACCCTCTCTTGTGATGGGCCAGTATTCTTTCATATCTGTGACATGTCATAGCCAGAGCTGGGCAGCAAGTGCCATGCCCTGTGGGGCCAACTCCAAGGGGGACAACCCTTCATAAACTCTTCGTGAGTTTCTGTGGTAGAAAGGAAAAGACTTTTCTGGAAACTTTGCTGGGTGACATTTTAAGCACACCACTGGAATCTTGCTGATGGTTTTAATCACGGCCAAACTCATGGGGGCATTTAAAGATGGTGTCATCTTTGTACTTCTGCTCTGCCATGGCTTCATCTTGGAAACAAGCGCCTAATATATTGAGATTCCGTCCCAGGGTGGCCCGTCCCCATGCTGCAGCGGCCCTGAGCAGGCCACTGGGAGAGGGGCAGGCTCTCAGAAAATGCTGAATGAGAACTTTTAAGTCAGGTTAGTTCTTCCAGAGGAGATGAAACAGTTATAAATAGTGAATTCTTTGTTTAATTGTCATTCACAAAGGCAGTTACTCTTACTAGTAACAAAATTCTTTGAAAGAATTCCAGAAGAGAGAACTTTGACGCAGGGTTTACATAGACATGTAAAGTGAAAGCAATAGAAAATTTACAGTAGTTTATTTTAAGGTCCATTTTGACTATGATAGAATTATAAATAAGATAATGGATATTAATTTCATTTCATGAAGTTAAAGTTTATAGGACTTATTTGTCTGCCCATATCTACAAAGCATAAATGCATTTTAGTTGGATTCTTTGATTTCTGGAACCACATTTGTTAGTGTTTACTCCAGCTGTTTAAATAGTTACGTGTTTCTTTGGTTTAAAAAATCTCCTGTCCTGTTTTCAAGTAGATGCATGCGTGTCATTACCCCACCCTTAGTCACACACAACTTTATGGCCTTTCCAGCATCCCAGATAGCTAGCTGATCGCTCCCTGGTGTTCCCAGCTATGTTTCTGGTCCCTTCGAGTGGAGAGTGTGATTTAAAAAAAAGACTTCATTCCAATTTTCTGGGAAATTTCTGCCTCCCTGCTTTTCTATGTGCTATTCACATTCTTAAATTTACTTGTTTAGTAACATTTAAAATTTAACAGGTTTTTCCTAGGACCCAGTGCTCTTGTAAGAATTACTGCAAAATATTTTGTATGTATCATATACTGAAAGTTATTTTTAAGAGGTTATTTAGTAAGCTTACGCTGTGCCCATATTATATTACACTACTGAGGACTGAACTGCTTTTCTTGAGTTGTGAGCAGATAATCCAGAACTAAAATTCCGGAAAGCGTTTTGCGTTTCCCTTGGTTTTGATTGTCTTCTGATGCTTCTTGGTGTTTTCTCTTGCTGTGGATCCCACAGGGCCACCTCCACATCGCCCAGGTGCCTCAAGGGGAGCAGGTCCAGATCACGCAGGACAGCGAGGTGAGTCCGGTGGTGGGGCCACCCCCCTCCCCACCAGTGCTTCTGGCAGAGGGCACCGTGCCACCAGCACGCCCAGACCTCCGTCTGTGTCCAAATGAGACATGTAGGGAATGTCCTCAGATGACACCGACTTCTGATAGTGACCAGCGAACTTTCTGGGCACAGTCTGAGGCCCTGCCTGCCACCCTGGGCCTGCCACCATCTGCCCTCGCTGCACCTGCCAGTTTTGTCTGTATGACTTCTTGTCCACTTTTCTTTTTTCACCATTATCTATTTCCAAAATTTTTTCATCACCCTAACTAGAAATCCTGTACCTGTGGCCACTTTTCTTTTGAAAGAGTCTTCAGTGCTGAAGGTTTTGCTCTGGCTGGGGCTGCCTTCTGAGCACCCCTCTCCCAGCTCCACCTCCCTCCATCTGCAGTGCAGCTGGGCTCACGTTACCGGCTCTGCCCTGCTCTTCTTGCCCCAAGAGGGTTCTGGGTCTCTGCTCCGAGGATTGTGTGACAGGGACCTGTCCCGGCACCGTGTGGCCCGACACATCTCCTCCCCGTACACACACGTGGACTCAGTGCCCCCATTTAGCCTTGTGTCAAGTTTCTTCCATCCCTAGCTGGCGGCTCTGTGAGGGTGGGGTTGTGCCTGTGCACCATAGTGTTGGGCTCCGAGCTGGCCTGCAGGGACACTCGGAAAAGGTGATTGGAAGCTACTTTAGGCAACATCACTGAAAAGCTGCTGAGCACTGTGCTGTGGGGGTACTGGGGAGCAGCATCCCAAGAAGCTAACAGTGTAATTAGGGACCAGTTGTTGCTACTCCACATACTGGTGCACAGTTGGGGTGGGAGGTGGGGCGGGGGGTCCTTCATGTTGTAGACTAAAGGCCTACCAAGAGTCCAGAGGAAGAAAGGGGGAGTCGGCGTCCTTGTGGAGGGTGCTGTCTGCATTTGGCCTAGTTAGGGTCAGCCCTGAGCATGCAGGGCAGGTCGGGGTCATGCCTGTCTGCCCCGTCTCTTGGCCAGTGGACCCCAGACACCTGGCTGCTTTGCTGCTGATGCTAAAAGTAGTTTTAGAATTCTTCCTTACTTTTACATCCATTTTGGAAAATGATACAGCATTTCCTTAAAAAGCTAGAAATAGAAATACTATACAATCCCACTCTTAGGAATGTATCTTAGAGAAATAAGAGCTGTCACACAAGTAGACATATGCACGCTCATGTTCATTGCAGCATTATTCACAATAGCAAAAAGATGGAGACAAACCAAGTGCCCATCAACAGATGAATAGATAAAAAAACTATGGTACATACACACAATGGAATACTATGCAGTGATAAAGAACAATGATGAATCTGTGAAATATCTCACAACATGGATGAATCTGGAGGGCATTGGGCTGAGTGAAATAAGTCAATCACAAAAGGACAGATACTGTATGAGACGACTGTTATAAAAACTCATGAAAAGGTTTCCACACAGAAAGAAACAATCTTTGATGGAGGGGAGGAGTGGGTGGGGAAAAATATTAACTGGACAATAGATAAGTGGTAACTTTGGTGAAGGGTAAGACAGTACACAATATTGGGGAAGTCAGCACAAAAGAGAAAGAGAGAAGAAAAAGAGTTCTCCCTTACTTGAATCTCAGTTTTTTACTGTCATATTTGCCCTTTTGTTTTCAATTTTCACAGGTGAAACTCTCTTATATCTATAATTCAGTCTTTTCTTCCCATTAGGAATTGACTGTAATAAATTAGAAGGAATTGCTGATAGTACTAATGATTTCTTTTGTGATGTTGCAATATGTGGTCAGTATTCCTTTCACAATAATACCTCACCTTGTTCATTTAAATATTAAGTATTTTGTTAAAACGAGGAGATGTGCAAACAGACAATTCCCAAAGCCTACCACATTTACAGCCGTTCTTTGTACAACAAGTGAACATGCATTGTCATCTGGCGAGATCTGAGCAAGGTCTGTGGTCAGGTTAATTGTATTGTGCCAATGTCAGTGTTCTGGTGGTGACAATGTCCTCACGTGGTGTAAGAGGTTCCTACTGGGAGAAGCTGATGATGGGGACATGGGGCCTCTCAGTTCTAATTTTCAACTTCTGTGAGTCTAAAATTATTTCCAAACAAAAAGGTGTAAAAGAATGACATTTTCATTTGGGGCCAGAAGGGATGGGTGCAAGGTTTTTTCGAGTTGTTTTGTTTTTATACACACAAAAAAAACAGTATCTGTAAACTCAGCTTCCAGTATTTTGTTTAGGGGTTTTGATTGTTACAAGGGGTCAGGTTTTTGTAGACTTCATGTCAGTAGTCTTCCTAGAGTCAACACGTGACTCTCATGGCCTAGGATGGCACGTGTCTCTGTCTTAGCATGTCTTAAAGGTACTTCTGTTCTTGACCTTCTCCTTTTTGTGTTTCATTCACAGGGCAACCTACAGATACATCATGTTGGACAGGATGGACAGGTAAGTGCTCACTTGCCCTTGCTTCCTGCATGCTTCCTGTGGCCCTCCCTTAGATCTCAGATATCGTGTTGCTGTGTGGTGCTGCTCCAGCCGAGGGAGCAGGCAGGGGGACGATTTTGCTCATGAGGCACCAGACGCCCAGAAACAGTGCCACCGTGGGCTCTGTGGGGCTGTGCCTGCCTCTTCTGGGGTTGCACCGTCGTTTTCTGCCTTTTGAGTAAACTGTATATCTATCATCATTTTTTGCAGTTACACGAATGTTATTGATTATCGTGTTTGTACAGTTAGTTGTCTGTTAGAAGAAGGTAGTAGGTTTGGTAATGTCTGTTGCTGTCAAGCTCAAACAACTTTCCATTTTTCTAATTCGTGACAAAAAGAGCAACCGTTAACTGAGCACGCGTGATGCGAATGTTTACAAAATGAGGTGCCCAACCTGTGAGGGACGCTGGGTGCTGATCTTCTTTCCAGCATCAAGTGAACTCATGGGCGAGTTTAAAGGTTTACAGTTCCATGTCCTTTTGAATAGAGGTTCTGTCAGAGAAACTATATACCCTCGAAATAACTAGACAGAATCAGAGTAGGCGTCTTCTTTTTTTATAAGACGTAACTTGTGGAATTGTTTGTTAAGAACCTTAAATGTAGATCTGGTTTGTTCTCATGGTCATGACACTTATTCTTGTTAGAAACCAAGCGCACATTCTTCCCTGGAAGCCTGTGGCCCCTTTGTCACAGCCTGGGCAGTGCTTGCTCTGTCCACTGTGCCAGGGCCAGGCACCCAGAAGGGGATGTGGAGAGCATGAAACGAAAGGACAGTTACTCACTCTAGGACTTACTCTGGAACGTTCAGAGGGTGTTGTGGGAGAAATGCTGTAAACCTTAAAGAATTTAAGGTTTAAATTGGAATTTAAATTGGAGTTTCTTATTTTGAAAGTTTCATCTTAAAAACGCTCACGAGGTTTTAATCAGATAGTCCTGAAGCAGTAACGGTGTATAAATATAAAAGAGTTGCCTGCCTTGGAAAAGAACCAGAAAGCCAAAGAAATGCAGTTTTAAAAATCCATGATCGTTTCTTCTGAAGTCCTGCTGTCTTGGTGATTAATTTCAGGTTGTTGGTAGGGGCCAATATGAGTAGATCATCATGAAGTTTGCGTTTGCATATTTCTCACATTCCATCGAGAGGGGCTGGCAGAGGGCTGGGTACCTGTTCAGTAGTATATCTCTTTCTTATTGGCTTGTTTTATACTGGTAGTTAAACTTCATTTCAGTGGAAATATTGTTGAACCTTGATTCCTACAAACAGTAAGGCATGTTACCTTTTATATTCCCTTGTTTCTGTCTTTATTCTTGAGCACACTTCCACTTGAAATTCTGTTTTTAATATAATCAGGTTTTTATATTGTATTAATAGAATGTTTTTGTTTGTAAGGAGCCTTGGTGGCACAGCGGTTAAGCGCTTGGCTGCTAACCAAAAGGTTGATGGTTCAAACCCATCCAGCAGCTCCACAGGAGAAAAGACTTGGCGATCTGCTCATGTAAAGATTACAGCTTTGGAAACTCTAGGGCAGTTCTACTCTGTCTTCTAGGGTCTCTGTGCGTTGGAATCGACTCGACAGCAGTGGGTGTGGTTTTTTTTTTTTTTGGATTATTAGCAAGTGAAGTGTTGGGTAATATGAAGTATTATATATGTGTGATTTAAAACCCCAAATTATAGTCCACAGTGTGATTGCCAAGGGTTTGGGCTTGGCAGGCGTGTGATACTGCTCAGGATATCGGGATGGAAAAGATTGAGAATGATTGCTCTGATGACTTGAAGAAAAGTCGCAATCACATTTCTTACCAAATGTTTGTTGAGCAGAATGAAAGTTCTGGTCAGTACAGCCTCTTCCTGCTGTCCCTTCCCGAACCAGGCAGTCAGACTTAGCCCCACAGAAATGGAACACAGTCTACCACACATGGTAAGTTACGTGAAAAGGCAAAGGCACGGAGTTCACCTCAGGCACACTTCGGCAACCTGTACTTTTTCAGCCCTGCCCCTCTATACCTAGGAAATATTTGTGGAGTTGTGTGGACATTTTAACCATGGCAAGACATTAAAAAAATAAATCAATAAAAAATAGTACAGGATTAGAATTTGGCCCAGTTTTTGTGCATTAATTAAGAATGACGCAGTTAAACATTTGTTTTGGGAGCAACCCTTAAATTCCAATAGATGATGACTTGTGTTCCTATAATATAGTGTCTGTTCTTTTACTGAAACTTACCTCTTCTGGTGTAGCCCATAAATTCCAGGTGGCGGTCACAGCACCGTTTCCACTCCCTGTTCTGGAGCCCACTGTCTGCGGTTCGTGCCACCTCCAGCTCATGACTCTGACACTCCCTCCATGTGGTCTGTCCTGGGGACAGTGAGGGGACCGTCCTCTAGATTCAAGCAGACAGGGGACTTTCTTGAAGATCCGAGGGGACGTTAGCTGTCTACAGTTAGTGGTGTCTAATTGGCAGGTGCTCTAGGGAGCAGAGTGACCGGGAATGGGCTTGTGTGTGCTCTGTGCTCTGGAGCTGGTAGGCTGGGAGAACAAGGACCCATGGAATTTTGTGGACCTACATAGGGCTACGCTCTCTCCTGAGAAATGGAATAATTGGAATAAGATTATCTCTGAAACCCCTTTGACTTTACTATTTGAATTGTGGAGTCTTAAAGTGGGGGCTGCCACAGGTAACCTCCCACAGATTACAGCAGGTCAGGATTTTATTTTGACCTGGAGCTCCAGTGGTCCTCATGGCCCATGGAGTGTGTGTGGCAGTGGCCTTGCCAATGGACTTACAGTGTGAGACTTGTCCCTGTTCTGGTGCACCTGGTGTAAACAAGAGTCTGCTGAGGTCACATGCTCAGGAACATGAAGCTTTCCATCACGTGACTTCATATCAAATCCAGACGTCTTCTGTAACTCATTAAAGTGTGCTCACCCCAAAATGCATTACTTTTCCCTCTTATTTCTCTAAAGATAATTGTTTTCTTGGGGCTTAGATGATGGTAGGCACAGGCAGTGTTTTAATTAGCGTAGGCGGTAATATCCTCAGATGAGGAGCACACCCGTATCTGGAAAGCCTGCGCATGCTCTCCAGCCACTCGCCAGCTGCGCATTCAACATCAACAAGGGTGCACAGCCTTGTCCTTTGGGTCCGTTCCTGATGTTCCAGGCAAGATCCAATTGGGATAAACCTAGCTAAATATAGATGAGTATTCTTTCAATTAGCACACGTGCCTATTGTGATGGGTTGGGAGGTTTTGAATTGCCATGAAGCAGAGTGAGTGTCTGTGTCCCCACCTTATCACTTCAGCGGGAATCATGGCTAAACAAGAAGTTACCCTGACAGTAAAACCACAGCCATGCCCTGGCGTTGACCTATGTTACCCAGAGCTGAGTTCTGAACCCACCTGCATTAGAACCTGTTGGGAACGAGTCCCTATTCAGTTGTGTGCAAGTGTGAGCTGTCTAGAAACCTGTCTTAGAGTGCCCTTCCTGTCAGAGGGCCAGGCAGACAGGAGGCCCTGCTGAGAAGGGGCTCACGGGTCCTCTGTGATGGGAAGGCTCTGTCAAGGTGACAAACACACAGAAACCAAGGAAGACAGGGAGATACAAGTGCTGGAGTAATGAGTACTGCCTTAGGTAAGGCACAGGCACACTAACTAACTAGCTAACTAACTAATTCCCTTCCTCCCTCCCTCCTCCATCCTCCCTCCCTTCCTTCCTTCTGTGTTGGGTGCCTGCTGTGGACTGGTCCTCGACCAGGAGCTAGAGAGGCACCAGCAAATGAGGCAGACATGGTCTTGCTTGTTTCCAAGCAGATTCTCATCATCCTTTATACTTGACCTCCTGAGTTTTGTAGCCAGCTTACCTGTCCTTTCTCTCGAATGGCTCTCGCTTCACATTTCTCATTTCCCTTCTCATTGTTGTGCTCTCATTGATCACCTCCAACTCTTTACAGTCAGGCACAGATTTTTCTCTCCTGTTCTATTTCAGTTCCTTGTCACGCATCATCACTTTTAGCCATGTCCCCTGTGAACATCTCTTTCCTCCTTTCTGTGTCCTCTGATAGCCATTGCAGTGACCCCTGGATTAATTGATACTCACCTGGGTTGTATTGGCCTGTCTCCAGACTCCTTCACGACGTCAGGGTGGCCCTGCTGCGACTGCATCTTATAGTGAGGGCTTTTCCATAAGACCTGTGCTGTGTGCTTGGGAGGGTCCAGAGGGCCAGGCACATACTGACTGCAGCACCAGCCTGGGTTCCCGGGAAGGATCAGGCTCCCTGCAGCATTTCCTCACTGTGAAGCACTGGGAGCTGCTGCTGTCTTAATGGAATCGGATGATGTGGTGGTTTGCAAGTTGCCATGTAGACAGGAGTCCTGAGCCCTCTTCCCATTTCCTTATTTCTAGAACACTCTCTGGAACCACCCGAGTCACTGTCCCACTGACTGCAGTGACTGGAGCGAGATTTGGTCACAAAGATGAAGTACTGTCTAGTCCTGCAGGTCCTTGTTTCTAGGGAGAGGTTTACAATACGAATAATGTGATTTCCTTGTCTCACCGTTCTGTTTGTAGTGACGTAATTAGAGTACACTTTGTAAAAGGCAGTGTTGGGTGGAATTTGGCATTCCCTCTTAAGTGTATTTGTCCTACATGAGTGACTGTTGAAGTTGCATCGACTGGGAAGATGGATTGGGGATCAGGGTTGCTGTTCGGATTTTAGAACACACTAACTGATCCTGGACCCACAGAAATGGTCCATAGAATTTTGTAATTTTCCATGGACCCTTCTGGTGCTCTTACTTTCCTTATTAGTTATTTAATCTAGAAAATCTAAAAGAACTGACACTGGTAAGGCAAATTCAGACTTGAAAGTGCATAAGAAGAGCAAAGGACGTGGAGCTGTGCCCTGTGTCAGCATTCCTGGGCTCAGACTCGACAGCTGCTGGGTCGGTGCAGAGTGTGAAGTGC